TCTCTTATTATATAAACACCAATGAAATACCAGGTGAGCTTTCGCATGAAAACTTGATATCTTCATATGTGAAAATAACATGTTAACTTCACATGTGAAAATATCACCATTGCTATGGCTACATAAATCGCTCCTTTCACACCAAAAAACTTTTAAAGTGAAATGGTTTGGTAGTTCATTGGTGTTTATATAATAAATAGAACATTACGTGGCCGCTTGGGGATAAGAAATTTCTCTTCTTGTGTTGAAAAAATATTTCACTCATTCGCTGTGCTCACTCGTGAAATATTTTTCAACACTCGCAGAGAAATTTCGTATCTCCACGCGCCTGAGTGGAATAATTGTTTTGTTAAAAATGCCCAAAAAGGATGGAGAATTCTTCCCGACTTATTTGTAAAAACAACCGATTTTCAGCTTGTTTTTAATTTTGAGCAGACACGTACAGTTACGATATTTGGAGAGCATGGCATAATGGCTCATATACCATGGTGGCTAAGCCAATCAGATCTCTAGAATTGCTCTAGAAGTATCCAATGATTCAGTTTTTAATATTTCATCAAAATAAGCGTCTAGTCAGCTCATTTTTATCATGTGAGCGTCATTCACAGATTAGAAAAGAAGACATAAAACGCATGTCACGCAGGCAAACCAAGGACATTACATCACCAGGCTGGTGCTTGAAGGTGAAACTATGCAAAAATCTGCGTCACTAACTCTTCCAAAATGATATTAGAAGGTATGTAAAATACTATAGACATCTACAACATTGAACGTACAACTGGAGAACTTCATGCAGCCTATTTAGCAAATATTTATGACCTTACTTTCGCGTAATTTTTGCTTGAACAGTGGGTCGCTCCTTCGTTTCCTGTCAAAGTAGATGCAGTACCCGAGAAAAAATGTCCCACATATGCCAGCTACAATTCCTGCCATTAATCTAGAACTCATTTTTAAGACCGTTGTTAAAGTAGAAAACAAGAATATACTGCACACAACAAGACGAAAATTGCTGCAAATACGATCACGTTGCGCTGACTGCGCGGCTGCTTAGTCGGAGTATCTTCCCAGTCTCCTTTGCGCGATTGCCGTGCTGGGTAGTACCCGTCGAGCGACAAAGGTTAGGAGGGGGTGTATGGTGCATTGGGCATAAGTGCGACATAAAGGTTTTGTACGGGAATTCAGGTAAAAGATTCAAGAAGATAAATACCTGTTGGGATTTTTTATAAAATACACCAAGAGCCATAATGGCTCTTGAATACACTTTATCTTATTTACTTTGATTGTTTTTCCTTGTGATGGAAACTCGGGGTTAAAGGGAATCGCTTAATCGACAAGCATCATCTTCGGAGTCGAAGTGAGTTGTACCACGTCACTTGATGGTATTAAATTCTGGTTATTGACCTGATTGGTCAATTAAGTCGCGTTGTTATTGGTCTGTCAGTAAAGCCGTGATGAATATATGATTGAAGTCGGTGTTAATGAAACAGGCACAAAAAATCATATTTTAATAATTAGATCGTTTCAGAAGTGCAGTTTATTCCGGGGAATACTCATGAAAGTTTTATATGGGGAGGTTTCGCCCCGAGGTCCAAACCCTTACCGTTTAAATACAATTTTTAACAGAAAAGGTACCCCTTTCAGACATCTTCTATTGACAAATGATACCTAGTTGAGAACTTTGCATCCTTTTAACTGCTGTTTGTTGATGCACTGTCTCCTAAATATGAATAAATCACAAAACCAACGTTTTCTCGACATTTTTACTGCCATACTAGTGCATCTGTTGACCCTTTTAACGGATTTTTACAAACCGAAATGACAGATTTTCCTACCCTTTCTTATACTTCTGCCATTTAGTGAAATCCCTGCCCTTTCAAACACCTGAAGCTCGGGGAGGGTCCTTGGGTTAATGTTTGCTGGGTATGTGCGGCTGGCCTCTCAGAGCCCCTACCCCAACAGTAGTCTATTTTTCAGATGTAGCCAATTATAGACCCCGTCTTAGTCACTTTTTGGAAAATGTAATTTTCGTGATCCCAACTTAGTCATTGTCTATTTACCTTGTCAAAGTGGTTTCAAGAACGGAATGTAATGCGGCAGGAGCCCATCAGAATGCGGTCAATGCGAGCTTATTGTTAAATTTGATAAACAACAACTTTCTGATTTTTTTTAACCGAGAATCTTCCCATTTTGAATCCTTGTTTACCCCAAAGATCCGAAAATTTGCGACCCCATCCTAGTAACACTATTGAAATGCGACCCCATCATAATCACCACAGTCGTGAAAATGCAACCGCATCCAGCGGCACATCCCCATTAGCCTCTTGTAAGGGAGCACCTCCCCTGGGGAAGCGCAGAATTGAGAATTCTGGCGCTGTCTGAGGCATCTCAGTATGTCCTCATTCGTGACGTCGTGAGACGGGTTCACAAGGGCGTGGACTGTACCTTCGTCACGCGTTACTCTGTCAAGAAAAACGTGGGCGTGAAGAATGAAGCCGCGACGACGCTAAAAGAACACGCTGCCTGATTCGGACCTGACATTGTGACGTCACGTGCGCGAAATTTGGACTTTCGTCCGGCAGGAGCCGATTACTTCTGCGTCCCGAAAAGAGATCGGCCTTTTGAAAGCAATATACGCCTGAATAACTGTTAAAACTGTTATTTAATCTACGCTTAGACTATTCACAGTCCCCTATTTTTTCGTGAGATCGTTGAGATATAGCGAGTCTTACCGTTAATGACCGAGGGGGCGGGCGTCGGGGATTATAGCTCTAGGGGGAGGTGGGCGAGAAACTATTTTACTCGCTTCCTCCCAAACCGCCCCCTACCCCTAAGTAGTTTTGACACTTACGCAAGATGGCAGCCCGAAACGCAAAGCGCTCGATCTCGACGATCCTACGGAAAAATAGAGGAAAGTGAACAGTCTAATCTACGCTTGCCATTTGTCAGCAAAAAAGAAACACGCGAGATAAAATAAAACAAAACAAAAAATACATCCCTATACTGTTTATAGCGCTGTCAAGTTCTTTTCACGATTATTTTAATCGATAACCAATCGCACGTGATCGCTTTCCGCGTTTGGACTCTCGCTCAGTGGACTTCAGCTTCGGTGTTGTACAGAAAGTTCAGTCTAATTTCATGAGCGTCGTGTCACGCCTAAAAGTGTGCGAGGAAAATTAACCAGTACACTTGTGATACAAAAACAGAGCGGAACTCAGTTTCAGCAGCCAGGGTAAATATCTTTGCTTTCTTCATTTCTACATGTTTCATTCTGAAACGAAGATTTTAAGGAAAAGTTGGGCCTGGGAGCATACTGCTTTTGAAAGGGATACATTTCCGACAAAGGTGCTTTGAAGTCTGTGATTATATTTTTTAACTTTTATTTCCAGAGATTTTTTCTCCCACGTGTAGTTGCTATAGGCCATAGCATTAACTTTTTCAGAATTCAAGATATTTAGCATGTTAAGGTACTCAAAATTGTCCAAATTTGTCTTGCACGCGCTTTGAGCAACTGAGGCGAAGGCCAAAGGCATGCTGGGTATTGGGGATGCCATTGGGGATTTCGATGATCACGTGGTAACTTAACACAAAACTGCTGAACGCTGCGCTTGCGTTCAATTCTTCGGTTTGTACGGAAGGGACGTTCGAAGATATTACATCATTAACAAGCAATTCCCTGCTTTAAAATGTATTCCTTTGTGGTCTTTTATCATGACAGAACGTATTTTCTAAACGTTTTTGCCAAAAAGAGAAGAATTTAGAGAACCTGGATTGCTTTTACGGCCAAGAAATTGCTAACACACAGCGAAAGCGTAGAGGAGATTCCCCTCCTCAATACAGGTATGAGCTGAATTCGCGAAATCAATCGTCTTTTAACTGTACTTGCTTTTAGTCTTCTCGTTATTAATTATTTCGTTTGGTTGACCTATTTGAAAACTTACCTCGTAATTGAAATGTTCTTGAGAAGCTATACTCCTTTTATGGCCAGTGTAAAACAGAGACGCATTGCAATTGGCGCTGATCATCTAAAATTTTTCACCGCGTTCCAATATTTTGTTCAGCCTCTTTTCGGAAGTTCCGGACATTTTTTGTTGCAAGTAGAAATTTGCCTGTACCTGCGAAGAATATTTAGCGTTTTTCATACAGTTAAAAAAAAACGTAAAAAATAAACGTGCGAATGCGAATTTCACAAAAGTATTCGCCGCTTCGAAGAAAACAGTCGATGGGTGGTTGTAAATTAAATATGGCCGTCAATATATCTTCCTGTGTAACGTCATTGCTTTTATTTTAGAAATTTTCCTTTTTTCGTTTGGATTTGATATAGTTTGTTTCTCCACGTAAGATCAACATAGATAGATGTTATTTTAAAACTGAAATTTGCAGAATTGCCTCTTTTGGATCGTTACATTTCTTTTTTCCTGCAATTTTTATGTCGTTGACCGTGTATACGGTGCCGCGCAATTTGCCTTGGGCAGCTGCACCCAAGAAATATAAAATTCCTCGTTCTAGAGGAAGATTGTGAGCAATTTTTAATTTTTTATGCACACTTAATTCGGAGGAAATCTTAAATTATCTCTTGTTTTACAAGAACAACAAATATTGTTTTGCCTGGGTCTACAGTTTCGTGCTGGAACAAGTTTTGCTTTAATAATTTCAATAATTAGTAGCATAGCATTTGTCACTGTCAGTCAGAGTTAGCTGAAGAGAGGGGCTAAATTTTTTTAATACTGTACCTTTAAAGAGTGAAAAAAAGACACAATTTTGATGACTAGTGAATTGATAACCTCTACTGTATGGGTTTTTATATGTTTAACATATTATAACGTAATACCCAAGAACCACTTGACTATTAAAGCCACAAGTAAATTTTCTTGAAACCAAGCTTAAATGAATATTTTGTTCTTTCATTCCATAAACTGTCAAAGAAATTATTTATATTAAAAGGAAAAAAAAATTCATGGCTGTTGGGCCTAAAAACAATAAATGTGTGAGTGTGCCTGCAGCCTGTGGTCATCTTTGCTAGAGACAAAGAAACAACTGGAAATAAATCTGCATTCACAAGCTCGTGCATCTGTACATATGTACACACACACACTTTATTGTTTTTACCATAAATTTACAAAATTTGGCATGCCCACAGCAAGCAGTGGCCAATCAGGGCGGGTCATGCAAATTACAAGGAGTCAGGGAGAAACATACTGTATCTTGTTTGTCTTTCTCTTTCTCTAGAAATATTGGGGCTCAAGTGTGTCATATACAGAAATCAAATAAGGTAAATGTAAATGTAGTTTTAGAGCTAGAAAAAAAACCAAGAATCCAGATGGAGTTCTGGTGATTTAGTTACTGTGTGGCATTAAATTTTTCCAAGAGTTTGTAATTTACAAATGGATAGTTTGTTTGTGTTGTGCAGGTAGTTACTTTTTGTAAATGGCAAGATTGGCTTTTCTTGCTGGGAATGAGTTTTGTCAGAAAAGTACTGTAAATCCTCTATTAAGCCCCAAAAGAGACAGGGGGCTTATTAAAGAAGAGTGGGCTTATTTAATGTAGAAGAGACAATGGTATCAGTTCTCCATAAAGAACTAGAATACAAAGTGGAAAATAAAGCTCAAGTCCAAGAACATTGGAGGTCATGCAGCCGAGGATCAGAATCAAGTCCAAACTTCCAGTTGGTAATTTAACAAACCATCCCTGATCAGTCCACACAAAGTTTTACTGTCTCATTGATTAATATATTATTATTAGTGTAGAATAATTAGGGGAGGGAAGGGGGGGCTTACTAACTTTTTTCACTCGAAAAGGGGAGGCTTATTAGAATAGAGGGATGGGGCTTATTTGAGAGGGGGGGCCTAATAGAGGAATTACGGTATGTAAAACATTTGTTGAGCAAAATTTAATATGCGATCAATATACCAGGGAAACAACATCAAAGTGTGAAATATGTCACACTTAAAAAATACTGTTAGCAGTAGTGTCAATGTAAATCAACTTGAATTGTTGATTGCTCTGATTTTTATGGGTTTTCCACTGTGTCAAGCAGAGTCAAATTCACTTAGTCAAAATTGGCAGCCTGTAGCTGCTTTCAAACCTACAGTGATACTGTTATTCACAAATTTTTTAACTGAATATTTTTTTTGCAGTTAAAGGTATAATTAACAGTTATTCAATGAGGCTGAGTATGACAGCCCCCAAGATCAGCATACATTATTCTTCACATCACACAGAAGCAGAATTCAAAAATTGTTTCATCATCCATTCAAAATTTTTCTAAGTTCCTAACAAACTTACTTCCTCGTAGACGTTCTTTAAAACTGTGGCCTATCTCTTGGCACAAAAAGTAGTTAACATTCATTGAGCAATATGTCGTGCATTTCTTCTATGCACTTTTAGTCAGAAACTGAGTTATTTCATCTTTGGATAGCCATGAACACCATTTTTTATTTCACTTTTGCCCAAGAAGCCTCCTCTCAAAGCAAAATATACCGTCGATCAATCTCATTTCCTGGCAAGTAAACCATCGAATCAATTGATCATGAAGAATTAGCCAGAGGATTGGAGCCAATAAGAAAAGGCGAAATATTTTGAGCAAATAACAACATTAGATGTTATATCACCTCTAAATGTTTCTTCCTTTCACATTAAATATTAGAGTTTATTGACAGTATTCTGTGTGTTGTTATTTTGTCATATAGGTTTTAGCATGGCAGGAAAAGAGGACAGCAACAATCCTCTACCTTTTAACATAGACAGTTCTATGAATCCAGCAGGAATGTTTGGTTTTATACCCATGCCTGTCCCAGTGTTTACTCCTCCAGTGATGCCTGTAAGAATGATGCCACCATTCTGGCCTCCAAACAGTGGCTCTTTTATGCAGCAATACATGGAAGCTATGAGCTCAGGAATGGCACAGGTGATACACCAATCCAGTGTAACTCGAAATGAGTCATCAACTAGAGCAATGTCAAAGGGGGATACTACTTCTGTGCATGTGGCTGCACCAGTTAGTACGACTGCTGTAGAGAATGTAAGCAGTGAAAGTGCACAGAATTCCCTAGCAGGTCCCAGCAAAAGAACCATTGCTGAACAGCCACAGTTTCCTCACCCCATGTTGTATCCCACATTTGGTGGATTTGTGCCATTTGCGCCATACTTTCCCTATTTTAACATGCCAGGGAATGGATTTGCCAACAAACAAAGCAAAGATTCTGAAAGCCAATCCACACAATCCCAACAGATTAAGGACTTCCAAGGTAACGATGAGTTAGAAAAAAAGAAAACCAAAGAACAGCAACCACTATCTGAATATGGAACGAAGCAAGAGGACATTTTAGAAAGAAAGCCAGTTGTGAAGTCTTCTGAAATGCCTCCAACGGACAGTAACAAACAGGAAATCAGCGAGGAAAACTCTACAGAAATGGATGTTGCTCAAATCCTGGTCAATTTTATGCCTGTGCCCATTATTGGTGGTGTTAAACAGGACACAACACATTTTCCTGAGAAGAATACTGATGTTTCTCCCAAAGAGAAAGAAAATCAAACAAATGAAAATGTTCTTGTTTCAACTCCTACAAATGTAAGTAAAGCAAGCAATGTTGCGACTGCCCAAACATCTTCGTTTGACAATGCTAAACCTGAGAAAGTCAATTCAGTACCATATGTTGCTACTTCAAGCCGTAAGTTAGCCACAGCAAAGGATACCTGTGGAAGTGCTTCTCTTATTATGAAAAATGCTACTCCAGAGGGACTTGAAGAAAGTTCCAAAACACAGTCAAGTGTAAAAATGCCAGAAATACAATCATGTAACAATAATTACCTCCTAAATGGTAATTCTGCAGTGTGTGATCGTTTCACACAAAAACATGATGTTGAACCGAGTGACTCAGTGTCTTCCAGCTCTGTTATACTTTTGGTTTCTTCAAACAATAATTATGCTAGTTTAACACAGGCTACCCAACCAAGTACAGAAACATACATGTATGTCAAGAACAAGTCTCAGAAGGATATCCATGTAATAGAAGATAAAGTAGTCGAGGTCATAGAAACATCTTCCGAATCACAGGAGTATGAACAGAGAACTGTTTTAAATGATCAAAATGTGATTCCCACCGTTGACGATCTTCTCAAGGGAGATTTAGGAAGTGACAAGTCGGTGTACAAATGTGAAGTGTGTGCGCAGCTGTTTAGGAGTTCCCTTGGTCTTCAGAAACATCTAGAATTCCACATGGATGATGGACAGCATTATACCTGTACAATTTGTTTTCAGCCATTCAGAGAAGCAAAAAGCCTTGATGACCACATTGCCCTTCATATGAGGAACCGGCCACACAAATGTACTTTTTGCCCCAAGGCTTTCCGAGATCCTGGCTCTCTTCAAAAGCATGTCCGTGTTCACACTGGTGAAAAGCCATACAAGTGCACAAGTTGTTATCAATCGTTTGCTGAGTACAGCTCGTTAAGAAAACATCTACGTGTTCACACTGGTGAACAGCCATATCGCTGCCAGTATTGTGACAAGGCATTTTCAATCTCTGGAAATCTTCAAAGACATGTGCTTATACATACAGGTGAAAGGCCTTACAAATGCAGCTTTTGCCCTAAAGCTTTCAATAATCCCAGTCACCTGAGAAGACATGTTAAAAATTTACATTTTAAGGGTGAAGCAACCACTGGTGTTGTTGAAGATATGATATCAGCTATCCACGGTGAAGCTACTGCTCAAGTTAAAACGTCTTTAAGGGTTGAACATGAGGTGGAAACAGAGGGACAAAGAATGGAAATTTCTCAGGAGGAGGAATCAGTCATGGTAAAGTAACTCTTTTGATCCTAAACATTGTGGACCATTTCAGATCTGCAGTTTAGACAAGGCTCCAGCCAGATTGCAAAAAGAAATAATGCTTGAATTCAAGTACTGCATTTACAAAATAACTATACAGGGGAAAGCACCTCTCTCCTCCACAGAGTTTCAAAGGGGCTTTTCATTTCAGGAGTGTCTGTTGTCGGCAGTTCGCATTTTCACTCACTTTAAATGACCCTCCCCTTCTTGTGTAGCCTGCATGGCAGGGACCTGCTACACAGGGTACTTTTCTGGTGGAAACGGGCTGTGTCACAGCAGGCTAGTGCATTTTCTTTATAGTGCCAATTACACCTCCTTATTCACCACTGAGCTTGTGAGAAATGTTACTTGTGAATGATGAATTTGCCAGCTTTTCTCAACAAATATGTTGCCCAAACATTATTTCAAATGCACTAAACAACAGGCTAGCAGGGGCTAAAGCGATTGCAGCAAGGGCACAACCTCTCGGCAAAGACACCATGTTCAATAAATTTCTAATTAACAATGTTACAAAGCTCAAAGGACCATTTTACACACGTTTATGAAAGAAAAAAAAATTCCCAGACAAAAGGGGAGGCCGGCCACCCCCAAATCTGTTCTCGCTTGCGGTTCCCACTGTTGACACAGCTCCTTTGAATAACATCTCATCAAACCTCTGTGTAGGAGAGAGCTAGGAGATTATGTACACCTCACAAGCTTTCATTTAATTTGAGTTATCTCATTTAAAGATCTTAAACTAAAATTCAAATGCTACAACCACCTCACATTTTGGACCAGTATGTGTGTCAGGAAGACAAGTAAAGAATTATTATTGGTGCAACATTTCATATCCTGTAAATAGCTGGAAATTACCTTGACTGATTGTATCCTTAAATTACATTATAATAAAGCCATTAGCTACAGATACACTGTAGGTTAAAAGAAAATCAGAATTGTTGTCAATGAGTGAAATAGAGTACCGAAGTGATGACGTCATAAAAATGAAATTTGTGAAATTATGGGATTTGTTAAGCTATTCTGAAAGAACAACGTCCAAGACGCCTACTCGCCAAAAATTAGCAATTCGGGGCAAATTGTCTCTGAGATATTAGCCCAGTTATGCTGTGACGATTCCATACAAATCCTTCTAAATTTGGCTTGGTTCATAAGATTAGGAACCAGGTAAGATTTAGAAGGATTTGTATGGAGTCATCGGAGCATAACTGGGCTAATATCTCAGAGACAATTTGCCCCGAATTGCTAATTTTTGGCGAGTAGGCGTCTTGGACGTTGTTCTTTCAGAATAGCTTAACAAATCCCATAATTTCACAAATTTCATTTTTTATGACGTCACACTTCGGTACTCTATAGCCCTGGGGGTTTAAATAGGACTCTGTCATAAAACTGATATTAGGGAATCAAATTAATTTTACGGGTAGGTACTGTTTAGGGTGCTAAATTCCAAAATCAATGTTCTCTGCAAAGTCCTGCAATAAGCGCGAGGTTGTGAAGTGTGGAACATACCGTAAAATTCCGAAACTAAGCCCCTGGGCCTATATTTTTCAAACACTCTTTTTAAGGGACTTATATATGGAGGGAAATTTGTGTTTCAAAATCGGCTAGGCTAATACTGGAAGGGAAATTTAAGTTGCAAAATCTATTGGGCTAGCTTATAGTTGGAAGGAAATTTATGTCAGTAAAGTTTTTACTGAAACTCGCCTTGAGGGCATAGATCTTACTAAAACTCAGCTATGCAAGTACCGCAAACAGTGATATACTGTGACACTTTTTGAGTGCAATCATTTGGCACACGTAAAAGTTCTTTGCCAAATGCAAAAATTTATATGTTACTGTACAGTTCTTGCTTTGTTTTATTTTCAATTTGAGGGTAATTTCCAAGGACAAGCCCCCAGGGGCTTATATTAAAATTTTGGAGGGGCGATTTAACAGACGGTTTTTGGGGTTACGAGTTTGGAGTACATATATTTGGAGCGGCTTCTACATGGAGGGGCTATGGCAATGAAAAATTCCAAAATCGTAATTGAAAAGAGGATTGTGTGGTCACTTACGAAGGTGGTTGCTTACAAGAGGTTTCAACAGTAGTGATTTCAATGGGAAAATTTTGGCGGTCACTCATGGGAGGTGTCACACGTGGACGTTCCACCATATTTATTTAAATTACAAAATTTGGGTTAAAATCTATGCGAGGCAAGTTCCTCGTCCAGCTATGGCCCTAAAAAAAGGGAAATGATACCTAGAAAATAACAATATTACTTTCACGATATTATTAGCGTCAGGAACTTTTTAAAATGATTTCAAAAGTATTGTGGTGATCAAAGTCTCTTGTTTGGGCATTTCTTCCATTTCAGAGTGTACAAGGTTCTAAAAACTGAGATTTTACCATTAGCCACCTCTAAACACCTGCTATGAAAGCTTAAGTTGCAATTCCAGCCACTTAAAATTTATGGACAAACTTTATTTTCAACAGCACATCACTAGAGTACAGTATAACATTAATATTGTCTTATCTCCCTCTGGAAACTAATGTTTATTTCAGCACAGCATTTAAATAATTTGGGGCTGGTTTTAACACCTGCAACCTTTCAAAAACCAAATAAAGAGGCTGAAATTTTTAGGTAACTGGATAAAAATTAAGCACTACTAACAGAAAATCCAGTGAAAGGATTCACAGGGTCCAGACTTTCCCTAAACAAACCTATCAGAAAAAATATCTTTAAAGTAGTATTATTTATTGACTAATACATCCATGCTGATTGTTACGACTGAAGGTACATAGCATACAAAGATTTACATTGTGCGCTAAAGTCTGGACCCAGTGTCTAGTAATAAATCTTGGACCTACCCCTTACTACCATTTGTTTGTTAATTTATAGTTAAAGCAACACTGACACAAGATATGGACAAACTGTTATGTGTTTGCCAAAAATGGCGTTTTTTGTACAGTTAAGTACTTACAAGAGTCGGAGCTGTCATTAAGAGCCGTAACCCGTAACACCTGTACAGCTGAGCTCACTTGATGTTACAGGTCATCAAAGTACAATGCTAAGGTGGCACAGGTGAATCTCCATTTGCAAGGCTGCTTCAGAATTTAATGAGAGCCCTGAGAGTAATGAGACTGTTTAAGAATATACTTTACCACTGAAATAAAAGAAAGGAAGGCTCAAAACTCTAAAATGTGAGGACAAAGTGCTCCATCATAATTGTTACTAGAATGTGACAGTGTTCCTCTAACTAAACTGCCTCTAAAGTGAATCAAAACTTCTTAAAAATATTGATAGACTGTATGGCAAAGCCAGAAAACATAACATTGAAAGAGTTAAAATTCATATGTTCATTTCAATAAATATATTCTGCTCAAGGCTAACCAGTAAATAAACAATTCCAACAATAATTTTAAAAATATGAATTCAATAAATTTTGTTTTAAAATTTCTCCCAGTTCTCTTCCAAATATGTAACGAATTTATTACCTAACACTTTAATGTTTACAATTCCAAAATGAAAGGGGTCTACTGTTAAACTAATTTTCAATATAGTACAGTCAATATTCGGAATATTCCAGTATTTCATTACACTGCTATTGTGTCTGCAGCTCAGGAGCAAGGCTCCAAGTATGGTTAATGCCAGACACGGATATTCCCGCCTAATGGCAGCTGAGGTAGAATAATGCCTTTCAAGCACCATACGCCACTATAAAACTACCTCCAACAGAATCTGGCATAATCACAAAGAATAATACTTTTATAAATTGGAAATTCCATCGAAGTTGAGTAATTCCTCTGATATAATTGGAGCTCCAACTTGAGCCAGAAAAAAACTATTCACACCTGCACATTGCCAAAACCTTTCAAACATGTTATCAGCTTCTAAACTGCTATGATTTAGTCAGTATAAAACCTGGACTATAGACTATAGGCTGGGTAAACATATGGATTGCAGACTGGGCACAAAATGTGACCTTTGGACTATGTTTTAGAAACCTTAGTAGTAATTAACATAAAACATGAGATTACACAGTGCAAAATCTGAAGACCTATGTTATTGCATTCAGTTATTTGTGGTCTTTTCCCTATATGAATTGATTACATTATTTCTGTTCACCAAGTTCCCCACTACTGACTGTGTCTTACTTGTTATTCCTTGTCTATTGTTGCAACAGCCAGTCCATAGTCCGCAGTTCATGAGTTATGCTGATCTGCATCATTATCTAAAAATAACTTTATTTTACATTTATTTTGGTAGGTTTTTAACAGTTGTGCAAGTAATATTATTTTCCACCTTTTTTCAAACACTTTGCGTACCACACAACATCAAAATGGCCTCGAAAGTATTCCCGCCATTCAATCAAAGTTATTATAATTTATAAAATAACTAAGATAGTACACGCTCTCTGATTGGCCAAGAGGCGTGTTTGCATGAGAGTATTTAAACATGGTTGTGATGTCAAGATGTCTTGCTTTTCGCGCGCTAATCATGGAAGCATGAATGTGAAAAAGTTTGAGTTGAAAAACTTGTCAAGTTTACTTTAACCCATTTCCTCGTCAGCCGAAACTTGGAAAATCTTTAGAAACATGCAGTGTCAATGTTTTTTCGCTTGAGCTAACAATTTGAGCGAGAAAAACCCGTATTTTGGAAAGCATCTTTTCTGCAAAACAGGGACTTGATCACGCATTCAAATCTTTGTGTACAAGACTTCGTGACTGGTAAGAATTTCTCTTTTAATCAGTCCCTTGAACAAAAGAGTTTTGCTTTTTTTCTTGGGAAAGTTATTTTAGAAAAGCAAAAGAGAATTTTTTTCCTGTGTTTGCATATCCTGATATAAACACTTGAGGGGCTGGGAAAATTCTCGATAGTTAGGCAAACCCTTGACTTTGTCTCGGATTTGCATAACTGTCTAGAATTCTCCCAACTCCTCTCATGTTTATATTAGGCTATGCAAACACGGAAAGCCTTTTCTATTGCTTAAATAGTACTCTTCAAAAAAAAAATGCCTATTAACAATAAACTAATCATTCATCATTCTAATATACTACTGGAAAGGTCTTGGAAAACAATTAACTTCCCACGAAAAAATTCATGTTAAAACAACCTCAAAACCGACAATAAATAATCATTGCCATCAAAAGGATGTAGTTGACAGCTGTCCTTAACCAGGTAATTTCAAAAAGTATACTACTGGTCAAGTACACTGACTTGGAAAAATAAATCCTTACTAGTCAGAATTAATTGAGAGGCTAAGCATTACAATATTATACCGAGTTAAAAGGTAACTAACCAGTAGAATTTTAACCAATTGCATTAATTCCATCCCAGATTAGAGGAGAAATACACTGGGCTTTCAAGGCTGTTTCCTTTAGCTGTTCGATGATTTCCAAATTAGCTTCATAGAAAGTCTTGGACCTGTAAGGCACATTGTGTTTTTTACAGAGTGCTTGGATCTTGGCTTTTGCTTCTCGCAGCCTGTGACGTGGAAGTCTTGGAAAGAGATGATGCTCAATTTGGAATTGAAGCCCACCATGGATAAAATCAAGCCACGGATGGCATTCAATATCCATTGTTGTCGCCAGTTGTGAGAGAAGGAACTCGCTGTCCTTGAAAGCATCCATGGGGTGTCCGTGATAAGTTTTCATGGAGAAGTGACTCAGAGTTATCTGAATGTGAAGAACTCCAGCGAGAAAATGCGCAACAAAAACAAAAATAAACAATGATGTCCAACATGGTAAAAAGGAACACAGGTAAATATACCATGTCCAAAAAAATGCCAAGCCAAGACATTCAAGATATTTGGCCCGTCCATTTGGTAATGAAAACACCAAGAGAAAACTTTGCACATACAAGTTGTAACGAGCTAGACCCATGATCAAGTAGTACAGCCAATGTTGGTTGGAGACAAAAAACTTGGCCAGTCCATTGAAGGTAAGGGTTTTCTCATGATACATTGACCTGACTGACTTGAAGAACTTGTCTGTGATGGCCAATACCGGCAAGTGTTGGATATCGGGATCAAACTCCACTGAGTTTGTCACAATGTGGTGAGCATTGTGACTCTTTTTCCACCATCCAATGCTGATTCCAGTTGTCATGTTCCCAGCAAATATGCCGATCAACTGGTCCATTTTAAAATCATGAGTGATGGCTGTGTGGCCAGTGTCATGTCCAATAAATGCCATTTGTTGCCAAAATAAAGCCATGGTTATGGATGATGCCACTTGTATGTACACATTATTGCTAAATACCACTCCATACATTACTGCTGCAAAAATTGTGCACAAGCTGATGGAATGCTTGACATAGAACCAATCTATTTGCAATAAAACAGAAATAATTTTTTAAACTTATATTGTTGTAATGTTTCAAAACTGTATTTATTAATAATCAAAACATCAACATCCCCCAGACAGCCCCCTTTCAAAACAAGCCTGTTCAAATTCCTGTTACATTAGCCCAATGTAGTGGTCAAATGCCCCTCCCAGAGAAGAACTGTTTTGCAGATTGCGAATTCAAAAAATAGAGTTTAGTGAATCCACATGACACTTGATTTGCACTACATTAATACCTTCAAGAACGCTTACATGTATGTTTTAAAGCCCTTGCCAAACAAGCAATTTGTTAACAAAAGCTGTTTCTTTACCTTCACACTTCTCTATCTCTGTTACTAAGAGAAAGACGAAAGATCACATCTATCAAACCACTTTGTCAAACCTGGATCATACAAAGAAGTTAAACTTGACAAGTCCCTAACGGGCCTTTCAAATTCCCCAGCCTAGCTAGGCAAAGATCACATTCCCCACTACCTCATCATAAGGGATGGTCATCACAAATGACCACGGTTTGCCTGAGGGGATGTTGAAGTGTAGAATGGTTGATGCAAAAACTGGCTGTAGCTGCAAAGAGCTACTGAGAACAATTTAACAGAATTTGTACCTTTTCATATTTTTGTATCATTCAAAATATGGGACCAGGGGTGTGCTATCAAGTTTTTAAATGTACACGGCGTACATTGTAGCTAAGCTAGTGGTTTATGGCTATTGAAATCATAAATGCAAATTGCGTTTCACTGAACACAGCAGCTTTAAAATATTTCCTGTAGATGATTTGCTTTTTTTCCAATAAATATTTACACATTAGGTTCTGGATTAATAAACCTCAGAGCATTAATTACAGCACCATTAAAATCTGTGCTTCACGATCATAGGACATTTATTGATAAATTTAATAATACTAGACATCGATGCAGTATCAAACACTGTCACAATCATTTTTATTAGAAACAAAACAAAATTGTGTAGATCTGAAACATCCTTACTGGGATCCACTCAAAAACCTTGTAATAATAACTTTGCTGTGTAGGAATCTCAACTCTAACATTATTAATTTTTTATTAATTAGAGATTTGGTTTTTATAAGTAATTCTATTACACTGGCATTAACAAACAAGATTCTCTTACAAAAAAAGGAAAAAAAGAAATAAACAACCAAAACCCTTAAAAGCATTATTAATTTCATAAAAAAGTATCCCTTTAGTCTTCATGACTGCTTTTTCATAAAAATTATTTTATTTTTCTGAATTTCTGTGCGGTCATAAAAATTTTACTGCATGAAATCAATCCTGCAGACGAAATATTGCCTTTGTTCCTTTTTTAATTATTTACTTATTTATTGTTTGGTCAAAAGAGAATTCTAGAAAATTGATTATTTATATTCTTTGACAAGCTAGCATACAGAAAGTAAACAGAAATTTTTTTGGCTTCGACACTTTACACAATGCTTTTGGTTTTCACACCAGATAAATCCCCAGATATCTAAGACTAACAAATTACCAACTGTGTTTTCTTCGACAGTGAAAACTTTGAATTTTTTTTAAGAACTGAAATTTGCTAAATGCATTCTGAATGTGAATCTACTGATAGAGTATATCCAGCATAGCTTATTGTTCTGGGACCTTTTAATTTAGTAAAATGCAAGCAGTAAATAATAACATAAAAATCCTGATTTTTAAGTTTAAGAATCCTCAAAAACATTCACTTCAACCAAGCCATAATAACTTGACCAAAAAGAGAAATATGCAAATTTGTTTTCTCCCAATTTCACTACTTGACCTGCTAAAAATAAATCTTAGCACTGAGGTCTTTGTCTTTTATGAAGCCGTTATAAAAGAATTTTCCACCAAAAAAAATAATGCCCAAAGCCGGCGAATAGTCATTTCTCATGATTAAATTATGGGAAAACCATTGCTAAAATGACAGAAAAACAAAGGCAAGACTTGAATTTTTAGCACAATAACATTTAAATATCCTCCAGCAAACTCCAAAAAAAATCCTTGGCGTGTAGATGAACGCATGTCTATTGCGAACGCCACAAGTTCAACAACCTTGTCTGCTGATTTTTTTTTTTTTTTGACAAGACAGACAGTTGATTGAATATAAAAACAACAAACTTAAGCTGGGTGAGGTTAACTGTCTACATATCGAATACGAAAGCTACGAGGCTTTTTTTGTTTCTAACATATTCAAAGAAACTGAAACGGACATACAACCACTCCCACAGAAAATTAAGATTCAACGTTTTATCATAGAACTGGTTGACTATTACACAACTTTTTGATTAAATATCTATTCGGCCAAGACCAAAACGAAATAAAATATAAGCTTACGCTTACGTTTCAAGAAAAATG